GTGTTCTTTCAGGAAGAGTGGGTTGAACAAGATGCCGACCTTCCCCTCTCGTTGTCCGCCTTACTCACTGAGGATATGGTCTGCGGACAACAAAACCATATTCTCTGTGTCGATTCCATAGTCTGGAAATGACCAATTGTGTAACATGAAAAAGCTGCAACACGTATCGTTGCGACCGACCCGACCCTCCTGCAATAAAGTTGTGGCTCTGATGACTTCTTCGGTATTTAAACGCATTCTAACTCCGTTTGGTCTTGACAAAACATTAAAATTTGCGATATTTAACACCAATTTCGACGATCAAGAAGGCAAAATCACACTAAATAAGAAATTGATTTTATGCGTTTTCGAGAATTTAAGTTTTGTATCAATTCATGCATGAAAATAAACAAAATTGTTCTGATGATATACTACTATAAATATATGGAGATCGGCCTATAAACTTAGTAAATACAGATACACATATTATATATGTGATCCGTAATTCGTTTTGATTAGTATACAAAAGATGGAAGCGCAAAAACGCTTATGATTTTTTTATATGGAAAATCATTACGAACCTTTTAAAATGGTTAACATGATGTTAAAATATAAATAAATTAGTAGGCACTTTTTGAAAATGAAAAAGGTTTCTAGATTAATTGTTCCCTAACTTAAAATTACATCGTCCGCCCCTGCACTTGTGACCCGTTCCCCCTTCCAGTATTTTCCTCCAACGTTAAATGCGGTCGTAAAACGCACTTTATATCCGTTTTATGGCATTTGTAAAATATTACATTGGGAGTAATATATGCTGTGCCGGTACTGGGCTGTCTGCAACTGGATACCGAAGAGATTACTATTAAATTCTAAGTCTAGAGTAAGTGTTAAATTTTAGGACCGCATGTTGCGGTATTGTTTGGTACGAAACGATATTACATCATAACTCTATCCCTACCTTTATTGTATATGGTTAGTTTTAAGACCCCAATGCATTTTACGTTATGTGAGTTAGAAATAACTACTGAAACTGTATGGGAATGCCATCAAGCATCCACGAAAACCTCTTGTGATAGGATCACGTTAAAGCCGGGACCCTATTAGCAACACGCCACGCCACGCCACCCCACGTGTTGCGACATAGGAAAGAGTGTGCACATTTGTAACACGCCCACGTGATAACACGCTTATTTTCACGATTTTTTTTATTTCTCTCACGACTCGTTTACTTGGCAAGTGCGCCAATATTTGCGTACTTGGCAAGTATCACCACTTTGTAAACAACATTGGCAAGTGTGGCGTTCACAAGACGTGTCCATTTCAACAAGTACGCCAGCACAAACATTGTTTAAATTCTTGGCAAGTAAACATTATAGTCGCATCCATGGATACCGGTCGTCCCGAAATTATCGTTGCTGGTGATTCTTTTTCCTTTTTAAATTCTTTTATTGGACACTGCAATACGATTTCTATGTTCTTTATATTTGGCCATCCAAATGAACGGCTCATTTTCGTATAAATCTTGTTTATACGAAATTTGTTCATCTTAATAAGAGCCGAGAAAAATGCAATTTAGTGTTTTTAAAGAAATATGTTATTTTCGATTGAATAATTAGAAAAATATATATTACCAATTCTGAATTATTAATATTGTTAATTATCGCCATATTCTGACCAAAACAAAAATGTCAAAATGCAAAACAAAACAGGGGAAAAACGAGTCCAAAAAAGAGATGTCCAATTAAAGGTTGTATAAAACCTAAATAGGTGCCCGGTGGCGTAGAGATACAGGCTCTCGTCTACCAATCTCAAGGTAGTGGGTTCGATTCCCACACCCGGCATTGCATCAGCCGACTATTTTTATTAAAATAAAAATAGTTTGGGTACCTAGGTCGACTCAGCCTTAAATGAGTACTTGGGATTCACAATCCTCAGGTAATAGGCGGTTGAAGCGTAGTGCTAGCCACATTACCTTCCTTGTATACCGAACGGCTCTAGTATGGCAAGCTGTACCTTGCTACTTCCAAGGCGTTAAACGCTATATACGGGAGCTATTATTATTATAAAACCTAAATATAAACTATTATTTTTTTGTTGTGGGAAGAAAATTAATATTTAAGTATGTTTTTACTAGAATACATAAATTTACTACATGTAATACTAATTGCAAGATGCATGCTTGTCGACGCGTGGACTATTCTGGTTTTTTCCTTGTACGGCAAAATAACCAAGTTGTAATATCTCGGGGACTAAGCGTATTATTGCTTTGTTTTTTTTTAATGACGCTAACATCTATACTAATATATAAAATCCTTAAGTGACTGACATACTGATTAATCACGACCATGCTCAAACCACTCAACGTAAGAAGCTCAATTTTGGCATACAGGTTAATTCTAGGGTGTAGAGGTTCGATAAGAAAGGTTAGTCTTTCGGAAAAACGCTTGGACAAGCATAATTTATTTGGTTTTTTTACATATTTTAAAATTTTTTAAAAAATCATACAGGGTGTTCCAAAAAGTTGGATAATTTCTTAACCACGATTCTGCTTAAACTGCTTGACGTAAAAAGCTTATTTATGGCAAACGGATTTTTCGAAAGTCAAATTCCAACGAGATGAAACTACCCCTCAAATATTACCAAGTTATATAATAATATCGCCATATTGTTTTTTCTCATGCTGACATAAATGTGAGAAAAATTTATCCAGTTTGTATGTTAATGGAAATTCTTGCTTTGCTTTATCATCACCATTACAAATGATTATTTCGACGCGAACGAAGTCGCTGGTACACGCTAGTTTGCCTATAAAGTTGTGACTTGAAATCTTAATTTCTATGAAAATGTGACATATCTAGTTTCTTCCGTGTAGTCTTCATTTGTCCACTCCATTTATTAAATAAACGGGACATACGCTATATAACAGTACAATTATTTGCGCAGTCTTTTGAGCGCCTTGGCAAGTATAGCCAAGGCTACACTTGGCAAGTGTACGAATGTTTGTCATTCTTTGACTCGGGCTATATTTACCACATGTAGCCACAGAGAGTGGAAACGCGACGAGTGACAAATAATTGCACAAGAAAATCGTTCTCATGAGATGGCGCGTATATTCCGATAACAAATGTTTGTCAAGTACATGAGTCGTGAGAATGCGTCTTTAGAAAAGTTACAAGTATTGACACGATGTTTGATTCAAGATTCAAGCAGTTCCTCTAGCGACGAAGAATTTTTAGTAGAGTGTTCAGGCTGGGTCAAATTCGACGCTTTTAAAGGGAAACACCCTTTTCCTTAAGGAGATATAGGAAACTAATATCGGTGTCTATAGCTCCATTTTTATCAAAAACATGATCGAGTAGCGTATCTGTTACCGTTTCGGAGTTACGGAGTATTTTTCAAAAATGTGCATTTTTAATAAATCGCTGTAACTTTTTTGCTATAGAAAATTTTGTATTTTTATGAAAACATTTCCAAAGCACCTTTTTACGGTTTAAGTATAATTTTTTTAAAATTAATAATTTAAGAGTTATAAATAGAAAAAATGATTTTTTATTTGGGACACCCTATATATTTTTAATTAAGTGAAAAGGACTTAAAATTACCTTTCCAAAAATATAGCACACTTGATATTTTGTATAGTTCCCTTCGAAATACAGAATTTTTATAATTTCGCCACTTTTAACTAGTAGCACAGGTTAGGCTTTGGACTCCTTATTGATGAACTGTCCCTAATGGCACTTGAAAACATATTTTTCCAGCAAGACTAGGCACCGCCTCAGAACGCTGAAGTTATCTCCTAATTTTTGCAGCCAATTTCGATAATAATTGAATAGCTAACAAGATTCCAGCCATTGGCCATCGAGGCCGCCGGACTTTGCGCCTATGGATTTTTATCTTTGCGGAAGACTAAAGGTTTTTATTTTTAAATTCCCCGTATAATCTAGTACTCAGTGGTTATGCGAGGGTATCTTTCACTCCCACTGAGTTAATGAATTCCGCGAGAAATATTCAAAAACGGTCCCGTCTGTGCATAAAACAGAAGACGGTCGAAATATCGACCGTCGCAAAATCTCATATCTTGGTTTGGTATTAATTTTTATTGTTATTAGATATAGTTTAAATTTGTTGATGTACTATATTTATATAGTTTTAAATGTTATAAAATTCTGAATCTGTCATTCCAAATTTTATTTTCGTTTTAATTGCTGCTCACAGCTAGAATTTTTTTGTATTATAGCCGCCCCCACGCGCCGCGCCGTTCAGAGTGGGCGAATTTTTAAAAACTCTATATCTCGAAGAAGGATCGAGCAAAATATCAAGTATGCTATATTTTTGGAAAGGTAATTTTAAATTATTTTCAATGAATTAAAAATATACAGGGTGTCCGATATAAAAAATCAAATTTTCTGTTAATAATTTTTAAATTATTAATTAAAAAAAATATACTTAAACTATTAAGTTCTACGTAAAAAAAGTGCTTTGAAAATGTTTTCACAGAAATACAAAATATTCCATAGCAAAAAAGTTACAGCGATTTGTTAAAAATGCACATTTTTGAAAAACACCCCGTAACTCCGAAATGGTAACAGATATCGGTTTTCACCATCATGTTTTTGATAAAAAATGAGCTCCAGACACCGATATTAGTTTTCTTTTAATCTCCTATAGAAAAGGGTTTAAAAGCGTCCAATCTGACCCACCCTGTACAGTTGCGGCCGTGGTGTTACAAAGTGCAAAAAATAAGATTTTGGGTGCTCAAAATAAACAAAAGTCGTAATAAATACGGTGCCTTTCATACTTTAATTAAGGAACTTGAGGCAGATCGTAATCGATACCATATGTACATACTTCCGTATGGACAAAGAACAATTTGACTAATTAAACAATCTTGTGGAATGCAAGATTAAAAAAAGAACACAACATTTACAAAATGTATTGGAACGAGAGAACGCGTGGCAGTGTGTTTACGGTAAGTAATACCCATTTTCACATTCTAAACATACTCTTTTAATATAGCTTACCTCAGCATCTGGTGTGTAGTACGTTAGCTGTTGAGGAGGGTTGCTGGAGGGCGAAGGGGAAGACGTGGAGCACGGTAGGGGCGGCACCAGTAGGACGGGGGTCTGCACGTAGGGCTGGTACATCGGAAATGATGACATATGCAGAGGCGAGTAGATGGGAGCAGCAGATGTGTACAACCGAGGGCATAGCCTGGCGCAGGACAATTCGTACGAGTACCTAATATCCCTGATGGCTTTCCCCACTTCCAAATGTGCTGAAAAAAATAAAGAAATCATCAGTTCGAGCAAAACCGTATACAGATATTCTAAAACGGCCTCTACTCGTATTACCTACTACCAGAAAAACCAGTGGCGGACATATCACCGGGCAGTTCGGTGTGCCGCCCTGGGATCCAGAGGCTATAAGAACCCCATGCACGATATTACCGGATTTAAAAAAAAAACTGTATTGGAATAAGTAACATGTCAAGTATGCAAATCGAAAATAATAACTTAATAATTAGGGTACATTCATTATGGTCTCAGTATAGATACCTATCTACTAATGTAGCGTATCGACCGTTGGTCAGGAAGAATTCAAACAATTAGGGCAATAAAAGTTCCATTTTATGATTTTCTAAAAGCTCTCAAAGATATTGAATTGAAATCGCTGAAAAATGAAGAAATCGCTGAAGCTAAGCATTTGAAAAAGGAAATGGCCTACTTTGAGTTTTTATTACCTACTTGAACAGTTTTATTTGTATCCATTTTTATTTACACTTGACCACTATTACCCCCTGTACTATTTGTAAATTGATTTGTCTATATTGGGTCATGTATCAAGCGATGGCGACATCTGTTATCTATAATGTTAAATCTATATCGGTCGATAAAAGGTATTTTCTTTTCCTGTCAATCAAGATTATCGATCGATAAAGATGCTTTCTAAATGTAATGTTGATCCCCTCGACAACGAAAAACAAATAATCATTTTTTAATAACTTGTCAAATAACTTATCTGTTGTAAGATTCGCCTTGAACATGGCTGGGAAACTTAAATGGAAATGACAGTTCATTAAAAATAGTTTTTCCTCCAAGATGCAGAGGAGCAAAATATTAAAACTGTCAATATTAACAATGCAAATGTCAATATCTGACAATAATAAAATTTGATTTTTAACTGTCACTCAGAGACGCTTATGTTGTGATTTTACGGTTTGATTTGTCGAATTATTGTAAAATTAAATTCCTTCAGATTTTTTGCCAGTATTCTGTTCTAGACAATGTTTTTTAAAAATGGTGGGACAATTTGTGTTTTGTAATAACTTTTAATTATTTTTTATCATGGAGTTTAATTGTTGTACACCTGGTTTCCGAAGGATACAATGGTAAGTAAATTAAACATATCTACTTACAGTTATAGATTTTTTAAATTAGTACTGCTAATAAATGCTACTTGCAGAGCAGTTATTTAATTTTTTTACGGTGCATGTAAGGAATTAAGGACGCGCGTTTTTTTTTATGATCAGCAGATAATTACATCTGATTTAATTTGTTTTGATTATTTCAGGTCCCAAACGGAAACAAACTGGGAATCTTGCCTACACCAAAATTATATACCTAGCCGTTTCCAATTAGTTCAAAGGGAGGAAAATGGTCTAAAGTACTTCCTTTCTGATCTACAGTTGCCGAGAAAAAAATAAATATACTTATTAAGAGCCCGCCTTAAGCCGTTTTCTAACGATTTTTTTATTTTTTAGATTAATTAGGAAACACCCTGTATATGCATATCACAGGCAACCAAATAAACTATTAACCTCTAAAAATTATTTTTCCTACCACTAACGACATACCGTGTTTTTAGTGAGTACTAAATTATTTTATCAAAATTTCACCATATAAGTTTCCAGGCAATGACTAAAACAACCCCCCTTCTCCGCACCCCTCTCTTCCATTAGTATTTCTTCCTCCGTCTACCAGAGGCGCCCTTGTATAATAAAATTGAAATGTATTATAAGTTGCCTATCTATAAGTCTTTTATCTATGGCCTTGAATCAATGTAAAAAAAACCTTTTGCCACCAAGGGTTTGTAATAATTATAACCAAATACAGTCCATTAAATAAATATTCAAAATTAAACAGTGCATCCATCATAACCCGGCAGGCATAGAATCTTCTCGTCCAAGCCTTTTTGGAAGTAGAGAAAACTATCCTCCACTACTGTTTTTATATACTAAATTTTATGTGAAGTAAATCATGTATCAAAATTTTACAAAAATGGATCTCAATCTTGGTGAGGCAACATCAGTATTAAAAAATACTTTAACCTATATTTCTGAATTAAAAGAACAAGACGCCTATGATGATATAAAATCTGAAGCAATAATTCTTGCCATTTAATAAAATATAGAGCCAGTATATTACAATTTAAAAAACAACAAAAAGTGCCAAGACAATTTGATGAATTTTGCTTTGGATTACCACTTTGATGATAGAGAAGAATTCTTTAAAGTTGAACTTTCTGCAATCCGATCAATTTAAAATTATATTGACTTTTTAGAGCCTAATAATATGTTTCAAAAAGTCAATGAAGACACGTTGTAACAATGCCATCTTTTATTTCAAAAGTTTCAAGAAATTAATTTTATCCTGAATACATTTTTATTTTCTTACTTTCTATGTGATACTGATGTGCCTATGAGAAGTGGCCTAACTTACTCTTAAAATAGACAAGGGGGGAGGGGTAGAGGCCCATAAATATATTTTGCCCTGAGGCCCACTCGTCCCTAGATCCACAACTGAGAAAAACTCAATGGATTTCTTGTGTTGCCGCGAACCTTGGAAACCTCTTCAGACAGAAATCTACGTTTCCGAAAGATGCATACAATTTATCTTAGATAGGAACTACCGGAAACAGGAAATAGTCATCTTAGACGATAGTCAAGCAGCACTAGAAGCGATCAACTCAGTAACCATCAATTCGAAGTTGGACAAAGAATGCCTAGAGAAGGTAAACAAATTAGGCAAAAAATATAAAATCGTCCTACTCTGGGTGCCCGCTTACCAAGGGATAGAAAAATGAAGCGATCTAGCTAGAAAAGGAGCGAACACTCTGTAACCGGAAAGGAGCGAACACTCTGTAACACTCCGTAACTGGATTAGAACCGTTCTGCTTTCTAAGCGGAAACCAGCTTAAAGGGGAACTCACGAACCTGGAAGACTCCATCCGTAACCTGGAATGAGAATTCAATTCAACGGTCTAAAGCTTGATTTTCATGCATCCGTTGTCCGACGATACGATGATACGATATTACTTTTATTGGTTGAATTTAAAGACTTCGATTGGTTAGAAACGGTTAACCAATCGAAGCATTTAAATACAACCAATGAAATTAATATCGTATCAAGCTTAAGACACTCGCAAAAATTTTCTCAGAACTTACGACCGAGAAAAATCAAACATTTTCTTTGATTTAAGTAAGATCTTCGGATTGTCACGGGGTTTCTAAAAATAGGATATTGTCTCCTCAACGAACACCTCAGTAGATTGAAAGCTGAGAAAGAGCGGCGAATGCAGATTCTGTGGAGGAAATAGGGAAACACATGAACACCTTATCGCTGAGTGCGCCGAGAAGACAACCGTTCATGCCATAAACTTTGGTACGGCTGATGTCGCAGATGGAAAGCTGGTCTCAGATACTGGCATTTGTCAAAGCCCTGAGACTGTATATTATAACTCAACAAAGGGGAACACACATAGATCTGTAAACCTCTAATCTCCTAAACATTTTACATTCTACAAATCTACAAATGTTCTTCTATGGTTCAGATTTATGATAATAGGTCACCTTGTGTTAAATATAAATGTAGTTAAAGCTATATTGTATGTAAGTACGCTATGTTGCGGATCTCACGAAAGAATTTAATTATAGGTATATAAAATGTTATCCCCAATTATTAAATACACCATAAATTCCTTGTAGGTACATTAAATCTTTTATATTCTCCACTGATAACATAAAAGGTTTTCTTTGCGAATATTCAAGTTATTATATCTTAAGAAATTTTAGTACAAAATTCTTTATCGATTTTACACATACTCTGCTGTAGTTATATAGTTCTTATTATAATCATCTGAAAATTGTAGCACAAGAATATTGAACATTTATTCCTGGCTAAATAGACAACAATGGTGATATTAATTATGAAATTAATCTTCTACAACCTGACATACCCTCTGTTGTATCACCAAGCCGAACATAGGAAATTCCATGTAAGTTTGGAAAACTATAAATAAAAGCTCTCCATTTTATTTTACAAAAAAAAAATATTATTTGGAACTTTTAAAAGAACTTGTTAAAATGAAGCAAATTGTTCCATTTCAACAGCTTTTACGAATTCCTTTTAAAGATAAATACAAATTAAATTAAACGTAAAAATTTACCTCTGATATTTAAATAGGATATTATCATTTGTAGCTTTACTCCTTGTCAAATCCTTTGTTCTTTTTCTGCCACTTTATATGACGTTGTTCTCGCGTCCCGTGACCACTACGTAGTTGTATAGTCGTGTTCTATAACTAGGCAAAGTATAGTCGTGGCACTCACCATAGTTTCACAGAGATGTATTTAGGAAAATATGAGTTCACAATAAAATAAAAAAAAAAAAATTGATCATCGAATAAAAATTTGCTTGAAAATAGAATATTTTCACATTTCGTGTAAGTAAAAATTCTTCTGTATCTGAAAATCTTCTAATGGGAAGAAATGCGGAAAAAATATATAATGACATATTTTTATATTATTATCTATTTTAAAGATTTTCTGCAACTTTTTTTTAATTTAAAACAAGTTTAATTTTAACATTAATGTGTTTGTTTTGTAGTAATATATTGGTTAGGTGATTTTCATTGGATAACTAATACGTTGATTTACAGTGTGTTGTATTGTACTAAATAATAAAATAACATATTTAATTTTCAATAATTCCTAATAAACATTACAGAAATTTCAAATGCAAAAAAGAAGCAAGAAGCAATGAGAAATAGCATCACTACTTTCTCACGTAATAAAAGAATACTTTTTTAGTTATTGTTACCGAGTCCTGAAGGTACCGAAAGAACCGGGAATTAATAATTTCGATTCCCGGTTCTTTCGGTACCTTCGGGACTCGGTATCAATAACTAAAAAATTATGCTTTTCTTACGTGAGAAAGTGATGCTATTTCTCATTGTTCTTACTTCTTTTTTTCTCCTTTGAAATTTCTGGAATTTTTG